TGCAGGCCGCAGTGTCTAACTGGTTGACAATAAATAAATATAATCAAAATGCATCTTATCTTTATAGGTGAACCAGGAAGGAATGACCTTCACATTTTTTTATAATGCAAATTCTCCATTCCAGAATTCCTAATATGATTTCATTTCTCCACCAAGAAGAGTGCATAATCAAGGAATTTTTCTTTTAAAGCCCTTGTAAATCTGAAGACTTTTTCTCTTTAAAGACAGAGACAATTTGGGAAAAAAATTTTAGGTCTCAACCTTTTCATGCTCCCATGAATTCTTGCATATAATACAGAAAAAATTGAGGTCAACCTAATGTTTTTCCCATTTGATGACTCCTGGTTTTAATTTTCCTTATACTGTACTTAAAGGTTTTTCTATATATAAAATTCAAAAATTGTGCCAAAGTTTGTCTACTTGTGGGCTTGCCAGTTCTCATAAACTGTGAGGTGGTGAGCTCTTTCAGCTGGCACATGTGTCTTATTCCAGCCAGGTAGGTTCTTTAAATTATCTTAACCACAGATTACTTGGGTGTATCTGTCTCACTCCAATGGCCTCCTAAAACCAGTGACTATGTTTTAGTGATAATTATATATTCAGCCCTTGGCACACAGGAGATATGCAGTAATGGATTACCCAAGTAACGAAGATTAGAGTTGTCTGGGAAAATCTTTAGTAAAGGAAGTGTCCATTCTTTGATAAATGATGTTTTATGGCATTTGACTGCCACATGATTTCTTAGATCTACACCGACCCCAGTTACCATGTATTTCTTTAACTAGTGAAACTTTGGCCAGGTGATTTGCTTCAGGAGATGGGATATTAGTAGGTACGGAACCAGCAGGAACCTGATGAGCACTTGTACAATGGGCTTGCTCTCTTTGGACGCCTCGGGAACCCTGAGACTGCCATGTGAAGCAGGGAAGCTGGCCTACTAGAAGATGCAGTGCCACATGTAGCAAAGATGAGCTACTTCAACTTAGATGTCATCTTCACCCATCCACACCAATTAATCTGCCAACTGCCAGACATCTGAGTGAGGCCATCTTTGATCATCAGGGTTCAAACAGACTCAACCAGGCCAGAAGTACTTCCCACTGACCCAAAACATTGCCAGAGAAATTAAAATATGTGTTGTTTCAGACCACCAAGTTTGGGGCTGATTTGTCCTGCATCTAAAGCTCATTGATACAGGAAGCCACAAAATCATTTGAATTGGAAGGATGACATTAACTGACTTACATTTCTAAAAGGTAACTCTGGCTGCTCTGTGGATAATATATTCTTGGGAGGTGGGGCCAAGAGTGGAAACAGAGCAGTTAGGAGGCTATTGCCATAATCCAATTGAGAGATTTACTCTTCTATTCCAGGGTGATGGCAGATCTCTCCTGAGAGAGAGAGATAATTGAATATATTTAGGATATAGTTTGAGGAAAAATTGATTTTGAGGGATTGCTATACCTCCCTCCCCAGGAGAAAAACAGTTAAAAACCCTGAAATGAGGACCAGACTTGTAACAGATTTCTCAAGAGAGATATACAGGATTCTAGAAGACAACAGATCAATATCTTCCAGTTTTAAGTGAAAATTATTCTGAACCTAGAATTCTATACTTAACCAAACTATCAATCAAATGTGATGACAAATGCAAACATTTCCCAACATGCAAAGACTCAGTACATATACCTTCCAGGCATATTTTGTGAGGAATTAGTTAAGGAATTAAACATTTTTAAACTACAAGAAGTGAAAGATGTAAGCCATCAAAAAATGGTGGAACTAACCCAAATTCTATCCCAGATACTGTATGTGACTCTGATTCCTACACTGATCCTCTCTACCCCCATCTATACTGCAGGGGCTGGAAATTGAAAATTACCTTTTGAGTCTTCATTGACAGCTGGGTTGTGGTTTGTTTCATCCAATGGAAGGATTTTGAATGAAATGAAAATATAGGGGAAGGTAGAAGACCTTCTGATTCTGGCAGTGACGTCAGTAGCTTTAACACAAGTGGGCCAGCCACACTGGTACGACTTCCAATAGCACCCATGCAGGATATGTTCCTGGAGCATCAAGGGATTAGAGGCTGTGGGCTTCTTGGTGGCAGAGGGGAGTGTGGATTCCAGAGCTCCTACTGCAGTTACTATCTCGAGGTAATACCACCTTCTTCCTTGTGCTCTTTCTGTCCTTCCAGTGCTTTAGTAATGAATTACTTCAAAAGGTATTTCAGTCCTCCCTGCTTTAATTATCTGAAGTAGTTTCTGGTTTTGTTTTTTGGCCTGGACACTGAATGATACAGAGTCCAATGAAATGAAATCATAGCTGAAAGACATTTCAGTAGGCCTTGAAAGCAATGGATATGTTTTATAAAGGAAGTCAACAAACTAAGAATATCATCAAGAAGAAAAATGGAATGATTTCTAAGCATTAGAAAGAAAAGTCTAAGGAATACAATAAAGAACACATGTACTTCTCTGAAAAAGAAAATATGATTACTAACTCCAGAAAAAACAAAAGCCTAATGAGAAAGTCATCGTCAAAATACGAAGCAAACTAAAATGTGACATGATGTTGAGACTTGGATGCAGGGTAAGAGCTTCTATTGATCTAGATTCTTGAATCATCTTTCTTAGTGTGGTACGTGGTTGTCTCCTCAGACACACACATAGAAATGAAATGTAATCCTAGAAATACTTGGCTCCATGGGAGCAAAGAAACAACATTGTCTGTCACTGGTTTTCTAAAAATCAATTCATTAGAAACATCAAAGACCTACAAATAATTATGGTTACAGAATATAGTGCAAACATAAGTATCTGAGGACAGGAATTGGGGTTTGGAAGGACAGAGATTTGGCACATCCTCATCTTATATGTAGAGAATCAAGAAAAGCTATAACACATAGATGAAATAAGACATGATATCTTAGTATATCATTTAGTGCTACAAAATATTACTAGATGTTTTAATAATAGTAACAATACTATAAAATTTTGAAGTAGAAAAAGGGCAGTTGAAGTGGGTAGATATATTTTTAACAAGTCATTTAATAATTTTTAAAATCAAGGAATTAAAGAATCTAGTCATTAGCATATTATTTAAAGTTAAGTATTTAGCAGACTTTGGGTTGGGCAGGGGTGGAATTTGGCTTCTATTGTTTTTATTGATAATCTTCTATACTATTTTAATGATCAAGTACTACTTTCATAAAAGACATTTTAAAAAGGAACACTATATGAGGGAAGGAGAATAGCTCAATAACATTTCTACTTATATATCTCATAACTGAATTTCATCTTCATTTGTAGAATAAAGAAGTTAAATTAGATAATTTGCGGTGCCTCCAGCTGTAAAATACTGAGTCTCTTTGAAGAATGAAATGCACCCCTCCTAGAAAGAGACTTTTGAAAATGCCTTTACATTCCTACATCTTTTTTCATAGCTGATGATTACACTGAGAGATGGTCATTCAAAATACTGTGTGGTTTAATCATGGCAAGAAGAATATAGTTAATACAACAGTATTTCTGATAGACTTCTGAGACTGCTAGATTTCAGAGCTGTCGTTGGTTGAGTTAGAAACAAATCTACATAAGCAGCATAATGATTCATACTATGTAATGAATGAGATGAGAAGAGCCCAAGCTTGTACTTTATACAAAGCAAAGTATCTTGAGTGGAGTTTTTCTTTCCTGAAGTTCAGAGTGACAGAAGGAAACAAGGCTTTGTAGGAAACACTGATGAGGTCTGTGTATTTGTTAAAAAGTGAGGCATGTAAAAATATTACAAAGGACTGATGTCCACAACTCAATCACTTAGGATTGTTTTTCATATTAGACATAAAATCCCCTCCCCACCATATTAAAATCTGCACTCTGTTTTTTTTTTTCATGCCCTCTTAGCGATGACTCTGGTAGAAGCCTGCCAAGTTATCTGGAGTTATCAGCTCGTTGGCAAAGCAGCCCTGTCCATTCATTGAACCCTGCAGGCGAGGAACCTAGTCCCTTTTTCTCCATCTGCCACCTCCACTTTGAATATGGTGGGTTGTAAGCATCTTTTCCAAAATGAAAGCCACCCCCTTCAATCTGCAGGTTGTCATTATGTCCCATTCCAAAATATTATGCTCTTGCCATCATGGGTCCTTATTCGCTACAACGTGAAACAGCAGCAAAATCTATAAAAGGATTTCCCATCAACTTAGGTGCAGTCAGCTTGGGCCAGAAGCCATCTACTGACCAGATGGTCCACTGAATGCTTGCTTTCATTATCCCAGAAAACTCTAAACTCCAATCATCATAATCATCTCTGACTTAAAATATGGTAGGTGGTTGTACCGATTATCTGATACTTACAAGAATAAGCATAGCAGTTTTATTTCTGCAAGGAGCTCTTTTTTTGCTTTTCATGCTGAGAAATTATTTCTTTCCATGCTGGGAAAACAGCTTTTTCTTTAAGCACTTGTTGTCTTTGTTATGTATATGCACATATGTTTGTATATCTATACCTGTGATGTTCTGCAAATTCAGGGCAGCCTTTTTCTCAGTCAAGTTCATTGCATCTCAGGGTCATGCATGTCTCAGGCAAGGCCTCCTTTTCAATACCTTCTTTATTTCCTAAGTGCCAAGGAAAAAAATGAATTCATAATGTATGGCTCTGCTTAAAGATTAGCTGTTTGCTGGGCTTGGGTTAATTTTTCATTTGCCATGTAGAGCAAGACATGTTAATATATGGTAGGTATTTCTCTGCCGATGAAGCTTCTGAGATGTGATTTCTACTGTTTGGGGTTGGCATGTTTCTCCTAACAAGACTGGACAGAAAATGTTGCTATTACCTTTGCAGGTGAACCCTGCAGGCGCCACTCTGGGCGTAGGTACTTATCTCCATCTCCATAGGTTCTGTCAGTGAGGCATCTCTGCTCGAGATCCCTGTTGAGGCTTCTTGGTCCATCCAAACCTCCCACATTCACCATCCATCTCAATTTTCTTTCCCTTTCACAGCACCTCTGCAATTGCTTCAGGTTCTTACCCAGCTGCCATCAGCTTCAATAGATCTGTGCTGCATAGTGATCCTGCAACCAGTGGAAGTCTCCAAATCTGTGGTGGTCGACCAGAATAAATAGCAACATTGAGAACGACAACCCTGTCTATGGCCATACCACCCTGAACACGCCCGATCTCATCTGATCTCGGAAGCTAAGCAGGGTCAGGCCTGGTTAGTACTTGGATGGGAGAATGACAACCCTGCAGACATCTTCAGCGGGAAGTGAGACCCTCTCAGTTTAAGGACAATATCAAGTGACAACAGTTTCCTCTCCAAATGATACAAATTAGTCATTTCCTTCCCTACCCACACATGTTGCAATGTCAGTGCAAAGCTTACTTTGGCATGAAGGAATGGCTGGGGTATTAATTAGGGAGGCCCGATCCATGCACATGCTCAATCACCTCAGTACTCATTTGCACACTTCCTGGGGGTGTGAGGAATTAAGTTGCAGAAAGGGCCAAAGCCAGTGCTCGCTCTAGACAGCATTTTCCTCCCTTTCCTCTGGGCATCACAGAATGTTAACCCTGGAAGGGACTTAAGATCTCATATAGTTCAAGGCTGTGCTTTGGCAGAGGAGGGGAGTGAGGTGAAGCCAAAACGCAAACTCAGGCATTAGAATTCCCAGACCACAGTCCAATCTCTACACCATCGTGCCTTGTCCATTGTTCTTGCCCATTCTTCAGTACATGAGGCAAGAAATGATCCACTTTCAAATGTTGATAAATCCTCTGTTTTTGAAAATCAATGATGGAATAGATGGCTTCAGCAAGTGAATCTAAAGAAGCTATTTTTTTGTTCTTTTACAGAATTATTCTGATTTGGTAACTTCAAATCGAAATGCAAAAATGGCATTTGCCATATATGGTGACAAAAGGAGACTAGACTTTGGTGGTGAGCACACAATACAACATACTGGTGATGTATTATAGAATTGATGTATATTTGAAACATATGATATTATTAAGCAATGTCACCCAATAAATTTAAAAAAATTGTGATGCTGCAGGTCTGCTGGGTAAGACTCCTCTCCCCTGGTCAAATCTGGCTAGGTGATTCAACACGTCATTGCTACTCTTTCGGCCTATGCTTCCGTTTCAGACCATCTCTTCTTCTGATGAACATCTCCTCTCCTGATTGACATCACTTCTAAGGATTTATAATATCTTTGTTCCTCTAATAGTTTACTGGCATGGGACCGCCCCTTTCATATATTGGCTCTAATCCTTTCGTGTTGACTTAGTACTCGATTTGTGACACAAGGTCATCACTTCCAAATCTTGAGGCATGCCTCACTGCCAACTCTACTCCCAATGACTGTACCAGACAGTGTCCACAGGTAGAGATTCATCCTGTGTGATATGGTTAACGGTTGCAGTTTAGTAAACCATTGTTTCATTAGAAACAATCTCCCTAAGCCGAAATACGAACCTTAATGACTGCATTATCAGAACTATTAATGATTTCCATTACTTTTGCTGTGGCAATTTAGTAACATAAAGTTTTCTCCAGCACTTTGTGGACTGAGCTAAAACAGGATGCAGCTTTGCTGAGGCCACTCAATGGGAACATAATTAGAAAAATGTACCACTGTAGTCTATGGAAAGAGAGAGGGAGAGAGAGAGAGAGAGAGAGAGAGAGACGACACGTCCCACTCCCCCCACTACCAAAGCCAAACACTCCAGCTATAGGGCTACCTTTAGTGGTTAGACAAATATTTTTTATTATATCAAGTGCCATTTCTTGGCCATCTTTCTCGGCAGATTTGTTTCCAAGAATACACTGTCCAGAATAGTGTGAGCTTGCTTGTGGGGTGAATGGTTTTTGTAATAGAAAAGAGAAGGATAGAGCAAGGAATCAGATCTCATATATAGCGTATAACCATTACCACCATTAGAATTTTCTTCAAATACCTGAGAAGCACTTAATTGAAACAGCTGTTTCACAGGGTTCTTGTGGAGGCATGCCGTATTGCTTTATGACAGGAAAATGTAATGAAACTGATATATAACTTTTGGTTGTGGGAGATGCTTTTGGCTAAGTGGGAGGCAAATTGAGATAAAATAAGTCTAGTGAATTGAAAGCTAAGTTGAGAATAAGACAATCAAAGTTATAGAGCTGGGAATTGGGAGAAGTCTGTATTTACCATTCTCAGCCTCATTTGCAACATAAAAAATGTGTGAATGTATTAACCCTTTATCCAAGGCTAGTCCCCATCATATATGGAGCCATAGGCAAATCACTTTCTGTCCCTGAGCCTTGGGTTACTCATCTGGAAGTATTTGAGATGTCTGACTTTATACTAGGGATCTGAATATTTATATGTTTTTTCTTCCACAATTCTACAAAGTAGAATTCCAAAATGCAATCCTCATACCTTTACACCCACTTCAGTGGGAAAGCCAGTCCATCTCTGTTTTAATCAGTAATAATTTTGGCTGCAAGTAACAGAAACTCTGACTAAGAGTGACTTAAATATATAAATGTTTATTCTTCTTGCATAATTTGAATTCTGGGGTAGGCAGCTGCTGGCTTCAGCGCAGCAGCTCAGTTATGTCAGGCCTGCTGCCTCTGCAGTTTTCTTATCTTTCTGCCTTTGCTGGTGAGTTGGCCACCCCAGCTACAGCAGCAAATCCTCTTCCAAGTCTGCAGTAGAAGGGATGTGGGGGTGGGGGAGAGGGTGGATGGCAGCAGCTGCACATGCCTCTTTATTTTATGTATGTATGTATGTATGTATGTATGTATGTTTACAATCCTCACCTAAGGAGTGAGGATATTTTTTTCATTGATTTTTAGAGAGAGTGGAAGGGAGAGGAGAGGGGAAGAGAGAGAGAGGTAGAGAGAGAGAAACACTGATATGAGAGAGACATGTCAATTGGTTGCACCTCCCAGTGGGGCCGGGGAAAGAACCTGCAACCGAGGTTTGGGAATCAAACCCATGATGCTTTGGTCCTCTGGCTGACGCTATAATCACTGAGCCAAACCGGTCAGGGCATATGCCTCTCTTTTAAAAAGAAAAGATGCTTTTTCCCAAACCTTCCCAACAGATTGATGTTTAGGTCTGATTGGTTAGAACTATGACACATGACCAAACCTAGCGAGGCTGAAGAAGTGACTGAGGTAAAACTTGGCTCTAATTTGATTAGTGAGGTCCAAAATGTAACTGCATAAAATGCAGGATTGTATTGCTTTGAGGTTAAGAAAAGCAATATTTTTTAGTCTACCTGCACTGTTATGAAACAACAGTGAAACATTAACAGTATTTAGCACACCATCCACTGAACCGAGGAAATCTCAGTCACTCCCTAGCCACATCTCTTCCCTAGAAGAAGTAAAGAACATCAACCCTCAGGGGGGAGCTGGGGAAAATATGAGAGCCAAATATTAGTTGTGATTGTGGGTGCATCATGGTACCGCAGGATTTTACTCTACAGAGCTAAGGGAGAAGGGAAGGACTATTGGGTGATCTCATTGAGTATTTGCCACAATTCCCCATAAGCTTCCATATATACATATATGTAAGTCCTCACTTAATGTTGTCAATAGGTTCTGTGACTTTAGGTGAAGTAAGTGGAACCAAACCAATGTTATCACAGGATAATTGATATAAACAAGAGTTAAATCCCTATAGCATGTCATCAACATGGAGAAGCAGACATCAGGATCATTGCTCTTCAATATTAGGGCACTTGTTCAATACATCTAGGTAAAACTATGTAATGGGATATCATGCACTATCATCTCATGCAAGTTTTTGAAACAATGTTGCAGAACCACATTTTGTAACTTGAAGACATGTTTATGATATTTTGATTAGAACAGAACCTGACACTCTAAGTAAGGTCTTAATCCTTAATATTTGTTGGAATAAGTGGGTGAATGAAGATTCAGAAGAGTATATTCTATTTTTAATATAAAATATCAATATATCCAAATGTATAAAGAGATGGAGAAAACAATGTTTGACATAATATCGCTCATAAATACCCTGGTTTTAATAATCTGTTGGGTTGGCAGTGGAGCTGAGGTCCCACATTCTATGCTTAAGTAAACATTTATGATCAATAAGTTGTTACCTAAGGAGCCTGGTTAACTGGATAGTTCTCTGTTTGACTTACCAATAAAATAATGGGCATAAACAAACTTAGAGACAGACATGAATTGCTCTACAAAACAGAGTGGGCCTTATATGACAAAGAGGAAAATAGGTAAAATATGTTTAACTTATTTTTAATATTTCCACTGTGAGGCATTTTAGGTAAGAAAAATCACTGGACCAATAGTTGAACCCTTCAATTATAGACTATTCATAGTCATTAATTAATAGAGTGACTTTAACTATTAGATTCATCTTCTCTTTGGGCCTTGGGTTTCTCATTCTAGAATAAGGGCAACAATTTTAAGGATCTTCAAATATATTGTTTGAAGTACGTATTGATGTTTGTGGAAAAGACCAAGGGAATGATTGGTAAGCATAAAATACACTGGATATAATGTTTAAAGTTTGTATTATATTCCATTTCAAATTTTAGAATATTGGGGGTGGGTTCATAGTGGAAAATGTCTATTAAAATTATTTTTGCACCCAGCCATGTAGCTCAGTGGTTGAGCATGGACCTATCAACCAGGCCACTGTTTGATTCCCTATCAGGGCATATGCCTGAGTTGTGAGTTCGATCCCCAGTACGGGGTGTTCTGGAGGCAGCCGATCAATGCTTCTCTCCCATCATTGATGTTTCTATTGCTCTCTCCCTCTCTTTCCCTCTCTGAAATCAATAAAAAACCTCTCTGAAAAAAATAAAAATAAGGTATTTCTAGAGTACCTGCTATATTGGAGCTCCAATTCTAGGAACTGAGGATTCAACAGTGAATAATTATACAAATAACAAAACAAAAACAAAAATAGGTGGCCAGCTCAACTGGCTCTCCCCCTTCCCTGCTCTACTTCCCCTGTCCCTCACTCTAGCTTCCTGGGAGTGTGCTTCCTAGTAAGGTATCTGCCCAAGACTTCGCCCCCTTACACTCTGCTTTTTGAAAAACCCAGGCTAAGGCAATTCCTAAAGTTTGATTTAGGAGGCAGGTTCTGTATCCAGTTTTTCTTTTCCACTCCCTTATGTCCACAACTCAACCACCTATTCTTTCTTTAAGAAAAAAATAGTTAAAGGATTGCTTGATTTAAAGTAAAATAGTATGTTCTAGAAATAATAAAGTAACACTCCAAGGGCAGCATAGCATTGTGAGATGCTGCGTTGTGCTCTTCTTCCCCCACTTTCTACCCAGACCTGCACACAGGACTTCCTACTGAGAGTGGAAAATACCTGCAGGACTTTTCCTTTACTGTTGTCTTTTTTCAAAGTCAAAACATTTGAAGAGATGGACAGCTAGAGGAGAGAAGCAGTCTTTGAGGATAATTGGAAGGAAGGAGGGCAAACTTTGCTGAGATACTAAAAAGAGAGGTCAGAGGTTAGACTGAGTCAGAAGCAACAGTTGGAGTGACCTGGGAGAAGCCCAGGACTCATGCCCTCCTTGTGGCTAACCTCAGAGCAGGCTACAAGCCAGCCCTCTGAGAGGGCGGCCATATAATGTGCTTTGGAAGGCTGGTCCCAGGCACATGGGGGTCAGCCCCTGACAAAGGTTCTGAGACATCACCTATGTGTGGCAGTTGAAACCAAAGGCTTCGAGTGAATGCAGACGGGGACCGTGGGCATTCTCACGGTGCCTAACATGGACCACACCAGGAAGGGCTTTCCCGATACCTTGGCCTTTATAAGATCTTAAGACCTTAGTCCAATCCTGGGTAAATGTCAGTAATAACTGGACTCAATTTCTTGCCATGTTGTGTGGACTTAAGAAAATAAAGAAATTATACTCATTCTGATTTTGTACCTGAAATTCATACCAGCAACAAGTTCCCCCTCCCCCCATAGTTGAATAATTTTTTCCATGGACTAGCTGCCTCAGACGTACACAAAGGCCTTGGTCAAACCTTCCCTTCTAGCTTTATCTGAAAGGCGGGGGTATTTCAGGAAGGTGTTACCCAGCTCACCACCACAGCCTCAATAAAGCTACTTGCATTGTTACACTGTTGATATTCTGATTGCAAGGATTAAAGGTCAGCTTCAGAAAATAAAGGTATAAGGATTAGCCAAAGCTAGTGACAGCCAGGCGAGGCAATAAGCATTGTCGGAGTTAATGTTGTGTTGCCGCCACTGACTTGTGGGTGTGAGTCCAGGGTCTAT